AAAATACCTAGCAGAAGATTTGAAGGGAACCGTAAGAATGGAAACATGAAGAATCCTGAGGAAAAGATATGAAGGGAAGAATAGAAAATGCATTAATCAGACTTCAAATACCTGTTAATGTTTATACTTTTGCCTCAATACTTGCTTGAATCTTGGATGTATGCGATTTTCTTGATCATCTTGGGTTCTGTGATTTTCTAGATGATGTATGTGATTATCTAGATCCAAACTGGTATTCCCTACCTGTTACTGTGTGAAAGTTATAAAATGCTTAGGCTAGAAGAAGATGGGCCGGGCAGCCTGTTCGGTTGGCTGGTATATCTCGTAAACGATCATAAATTTTTAGCTTGAACAGTATTTTTCTCTCACACTAAACCAGTCAGCAGTAGTAATTTTTTTTTAATCTGGCCAAAAATTGAGAGTTTGTTTTGGTAACTCGAGACGCTCTGATCAGGCTAAAAACAGCTGTGGCCACCTCTTTTGTGCGACCGTGGGCTGCAATTGGCTGATTCTTTTTTTTTTCGGCCCTTCTTTTCTTCTCTTGGGCCAACGAGAATAGGACATTGTTTTTTTTTAATAAACTCTGACGTGGATCTGTGCTGCACAAGAGGGCATTGTTCCTGTTTGCCAAACACTATTTACCATGTTCAAGAATGTGCTTTGCAAAATTGTCATTCTCATCGTGAGTTTCATACAGACCGTGTTTAGTTGGGTGAAATTTGGAAATTTAGCTACTGTAGCACTTTCGTTTTTATTTAGTAATTAGTATTCAATCATGGACTAATTAGGCTCAAAATGTTCGTCTCGCGATTTCCAACCAAACTGTGCAATTAGTTTTTTTCGTCTACATTTAATGCTCCATGCACGTATCGTAAGATTCGATATAATATCTACTGTAGTATTTTTTGGGAAAACTTTTTGGAAAACAAGGCCACACAATCTGGCATGAAAGGAACATGTTACCCGTGGGCAGACTGACACACCTGCACGGAAAGCTGAATCACCGATCAGACTCGAAACGTCGGGTTCGGGAAGGTGATTCGTTTCTCTACTGATGGTCAAGTGTGAAGTTTTAAGATGCAAATCGGTAAGTAAATTTTATATCCAACCCTTGAAAATGCTATAAAACGTATCAATTCATCTCTTACAAAATCTTCGGGTTATTCTACATGTCATGTTTGTTTCAATCTTTTTCTGCTTTACAGTATTAGGGAAACTACATTGCTACATGTCAACAGTCTTAAAGGTTGTCATGTGTCACTTAGAATTTTTTTTATGACGTAGATGATATATAGAAATATGAGAGAAAGATGTTGTTTCATGAAGCAACTATCTTTTTTTTTTGCGACCTTATGAGCAAATAATTAGGACTATAAGACAACAATTTTACCATTGTACGATTTAATGTTATCATGCAACTCGCAGACTTTTTTTTGTTAACCGCATAAATTAAGAATACTTAAATTACTATAAGACAGCTTTAAAGACAACTAGGTTGTTCAATGGCCTTGTGGTTATATGACATTGTATGAGACCATCTATTGAGGCAAACCAATATATTTGTCCTTAAGTTGGCAATCTGTAGGATCCGCTTGGATCAGCTAGGGCTAGGGCTGTTTACCTGTTAATAATCTTTAGCTATCTACAATTAGCTGCTGGTGTCCTTGGTCATGTAAGTGCTGTTCTCATTAATTATTAATGTAGCTGGCTATACCGGTATACACATATTTCCGTTGGATTTTAATTCTGCAGAAGCAGGGAACATGAAAGCTAGATGACGATAGACATTACCTAATTTATGACCAAATATGTTCACCATGAAAACATGATTGTTGAGCAAAACAAAGTTAATATGCATGCCCTCATGCCAATTAGCCTACTCTGCAAGAAGTACATAAACTATTCTATTTTTCCTTACTTGTATTGTGATTGTTCTTAATTTAATTAGCAGACACCTAAAATATCTACTCTAGACCATGACTCACGCTATTAGGTTGCTTGGCTTTTATGAAAAACTAGACTAGACAAACTTTCCACGCGTTGCTGCGAGGTATCGGGCCTGTTCGCTGGTTGGTGCTGGTGCTGGTTTGGGCTGGCTGGTGCTGGTTTTTTGTGAGATAAAAACACTAGCTGGCTAATTTAGACTGACTGAAACCAACAAGCGAACAGGCTGGATTGTGTACGACTTGACTCTGTTTGGCTTGTGACCACAGGTTGCCGCAAACTCAATTGTTGTCGAGCGAAAAGTCTGGCGAGCAAAACCAGCGCTAGAGTTTTGGCGAGTAGCAGCGTTAAATCAATTAGATCATCGTAAGCAAAGTAGGCTCACAGTAAGTCAGGTCATCAAGCAAACATTGGGATTGGGTACATCTTATAAGCTGCTTATGGCCAAAATAAGCTGAAATCAACAGCCAAACGATACGTTTTTCAGCAGCTTATTCTGACCACGCTTATTTCCACATCTCCCATTTGTAATAAAAAATAGAAATTCGATCAGACTAGCTTATTTTGATCGTCGCTCTTATTCTATTTATACAGTTTATCTGGTAAGTGCTTTCCAAATAAACTATAACAAACGGGGGCCATTGACTAATGCTAGGTGCGGTGTGCTCTAGCGAGCTGGGTCACGCTTAGGAGACAAACTAAACACGCCCCTGAAAATGTTGGGATCACTAAGAAAAATTGTATACTACATGGCATTAAAATTAATACAACCAATCACCTGTAACAATTTTTCCAAAGCCATTACATCTTATTGCCTTGTACACATGAAGTGATTAGTACACACAAGAACCCTAACAATTAAAAAGCCAAAAGATTGGCAATCTTCCTAGGAATCTAATTAACATACATAATTTCTTACCATTTCAGCTCTTCTTTTATCATTAGAAATAACTTTAAAATATTCCTTTTTACCCAGAAGAAATATTTTATTTTGATTGAATCTTTCGCCATGTAAGCCTCAAAATACCACATGTGAATGAAAGGGCAAGTGCTCATCAAATTTTCTCAAGTTTGACTAGCTTTATAGAAAATATTACCAACATTTATGTTACTAAATAAATTTATCGTGAAAATATATTTCACGATTGATCTAATGATACTAATTATGTATTATAAATATTAGTTTTTTTTATATATAATTGATCAAAGTTAAATTAGTGTATGTGTAAAATTACGCAAACACCCTTCTTGTATCTTCTTTCCACAGAAACTCAAAAGCAATTGATATGTCTAGAGAATTCGACGGAAGTTTAGTGTCGTGTTCGGCTGGGGCTGGCTGGCTGGCTGGGCTGGCCAGCCCCCTCACATGGACACTGTTCTAATGACCTAGTCAGCCCCCTCACATGGACACTGTTCTAATGACCTAGCCAGCCCCCTCACATGGACACTGTTCTAATGACCCAGCCAGCAGTACTTCTCTCTTACATAAACGAATCAGCAACGATACGAACCAGCCAACCGAACATGCTGCAGAATATCTTATGCCACGTGGAGCTCGGCGGCCACCTCTACACCGTGGATGAGCATCACGAATGGATGGATAGGGTGCAGCAGGTCTTTTTCTTTGTATGCATGCACTGCTTTTTTAAAAGGTGGGTCCCATAAAAAAAACGGGTTTCAAACTCAGCAATTATATTCTTTCCAGGATAAGATCTGAACGTAGAATTAATTAAATTTTTTGATAAACAATTACGTTCGTTTTTTAGGGAGTGTTCGGATCCGGTGACTAAAATTTAGAAAATGTCAAATGAGGATGTTGCATGAGGTGTTCGGATACTAATAAAAAAACAAATTACATAATCCGTCAGTACTCCACGAGACGATTTTTTTAAGCCTAATTAATCTATCATTAGCACATGTTTACTGTAGTACCATATTGTCAAATCATAGACTAATTAGGTTTAAAAGATTCGTCTCGCAAATTAGTGGTAAATTATGCAATTAGTTTCATAATTAGTCTATATTTAATACTCCATGCATATGTCCAAACATCTGATGGGACAGCGACTAAAATTTAGGAGGAGGAACCAACCACCCACTTACCGAGGAAATACATTCTTAGGCAATCCAAACGCTCAAGGTGCGACAGTGTAGTAAAAAAATTGAGTCTGTCTACTACACAACCATGTGTTTTATTTAATTTCAACACATGATTTTTTTTGCACAATAGGATTAAGATCCAATGGTCTACACCTTTCTTCTACCTCCAGCCTCCACAGATCATAATTTTTTTTCTTCTATGAAAAGACAAATCACAGATCCACCGCCGCCGCACCCGACTCCCTGCTAACAACTACTACAAAATACTTGTATCAACAAGGTTCCACCACGCCCTCCAGCGCTCTTGGTTCGGCTCACAAGAACGCATCCCACCAGCGCAAGGCCGAGGAGGAGGGCGGCGGCGGTGGCGCCGCGCGGCGTCGCGGAGGCAGCTGCAGAGCCCGTGCTGGAGGAGCCGCAGAGCTCGGCCAGCGGCATGTTCTCCTGGTCGGGGATGCACCGTGGCGGCGCGCCGCTGCCGCTGCCACCGGACTCCATCAGGTGCGCGGTGTAGAGCATGGCGCGCAGCACGGCGGAGACGGTGGGATTATAGGCCGTCTTATTCTTGGGGAAAACATCCATGCGTTTTTTTACGCTAAAACACACGTGTTGTATAACATTTCGGAAAAAAAAAATCTCTGTCCACTGCTCGCTGTCGCTGGAGCGTCAGGGTCGGACAGAAGCCTCTGGATACCCCGCAGTTCAATTTCCGCCGCACGATCCCTCAGCCGCGATCCCACCGTCCGTTCCTCAGCCCGCCGCGTGACTCCCGCACCCCAAATTCAAAATTCGAATCCCAGCCCCGTTGCCCGCATCGCACCCCTTGGGCTTCGATAACCCCCTCCCCCCCACAACCCCATTCCTTTCTCCCCCCAGATCCCCAATCCCCAACTCCGCACACCCCACCTGAAACCCTAGCGCAGGCACACGACCTCCGTGTGCAGCGCGTCGCCGCCATGGCGGGCCCCCTCAACTCCAGCTCCGGCCACAACGCCGCCGCCGGCGGCGGGGGCAAGACCATCGAGGAGATGTACCAGAAGAAGACGCAGCTGGAGCACATCCTGCTGCGCCCTGACACCTACATCGGCTCGGTGGAGAAGCACACCCAGCCGCTATGGGTCTACGAGGACAGTGGCATGGTGAACCGTTCGGTCACCTACGTCCCGGGACTCTACAAGATCTTCGACGAGATCCTCGTCAACGCCGCCGACAACAAGCAGCGGGATCCCAAGATGGACGCGCTCCGCGTCGAGATCGACGTCGACGGCTGCTGCATCTCCGTATACAACAACGGCGACGGGATCCCCGTCGAGATCCACCAGGAGGAGGGCGTCTACGTGCCAGAGATGATTTTCGGCCACCTCCTCACCAGTAGCAACTACAACGACAACGAGAAGAAGACCACCGGCGGGAGGAACGGATACGGCGCCAAACTCACTAACATCTTCTCCACGGAGTTCGTCATCGAGACCGCTGATGGGCGTCGCCAGAAGAAGTACAAGCAGGTGACATGTTTTGGCTGTCTCTTGAGCGCTCTTCATAAGGGCGTTTTGCCCTTTTGGGTTGCCATATTTCCGGTGCTGATGTGTTTTGAAATGGGGGTAGATCTGTCAAAACAAATTAGCTACTAGAAATTTTGCTTCGGATTCCATAGTTCTGTTGGCTAGCCATATGATTATTAGAACTAAGTGCCTTCTGTTGTCAGTTTAAAATCTGGTGGATAAAGCATTCGAGTGTAGGTTGAAATTTAATAATTCTACTAGGCGTGCACAATTTTTTCAGCAGTTCAGTATATCTTCTCTTTTGTTGTTCAGGAGCGAATCGGTTCATAGATTTTGTCCTATGGATACTTCAGATACCTTTTCAATTTAATACTGATCTCTAGTTGTTTTTGTGATACATGCTAAAGTTGTTACGAAATTTCATCTTAAATTGTTGTGGGATTGGTTAGTAAGGTTTAGTATCAGCATGGCTCAATTTGTCACTAGTTTAAAGCCGATTTTTAGGGTCCAGATGGCATGGTCAATATGAATTAATTCATTCTCCACATGTTACGGGATAGCCATTCTAAATCTCAAGATACAGAGTGTGAAGTTTCTTTTTGAATTCAAATGCAGGTTTTCTCTGAGAACATGGGGAAGAAGTCAGAGCCCCAGATTACCAAGTGCAAGCAGGGTGAGAACTGGACCAGGGTCACCTTCAAACCTGATCTTGCCAAGTTCAACATGACCCATCTCGAAGATGATGTTGTAGCTCTCATGAGGAAGAGAGTGGTTGATATGGCAGGCACTCTCGGCAAAACAGTGAAGGTTGAGTTGGATGGCCAGAGGGTGCCCATAAAGAGCTTCTGTGACTATGTCGACCTGTATATGAAGAGTGCTAACTGCGACAGACCTGATAAAATGTTTGTATTAATTTTCTACAAACATAAACTTTTGGTGATGTCGATAAACAAAAAATTTTATGGGTTATATCTGATCATTCACAATGGGTTTATTATTTCAGGATTTATGAGAAAAATGATCGGTGGGAAGTGTGTGTTAGTCAAAGTGAAGGGCAGTTTCAGCAGGTAATATTGGGTTATGTGAGAGCAGCTTCTTGAGTTGTGGTTACAATTGCATCCTAAAATCTGCTATGCTATTGCTATTGCAGGTCAGCTTTGTCAACAGAATTGCAACCATAAGGGGTGGAACTCATGTTGATTATATCACCAACCAAATTGCCAACCATGTGATGGCCATTGTGAATAAGAAAAACAAGAATGCAAACATGAAGCTGCACAACGTGAAGAGCCATTTGTGGGTCTTTGTTAATACGCTCATTGACAATCCGGCCTTTGATTCACAGACCAAGGAGACCTTGACCACTCGTCAGGGAAGCTTTGGGTCAAAGTTTGAGCTTTCTAGTGCTTTCTTCAAGAAAGGTATGTGATACAGAACACTACAGTTGCTTACATCAGTTTTTTACTGCTCAACTAATGCTAATGCTCTCTTTGTAATTTGTATGATTGCAGTTGAGACATCCAGTATAATAGAGAATGTCCTATCTTGGGCTGATTTCAAACTTAACAAAGAATTAAAGAAGACTGATGGAAGCAAGAAGTCAAGAATTTCTGGCATCCCTAAGCTTGAGGATGCAAATGAAGCTGGTGGGAAGGACTCTGAGAAGTGCACCTTGATCCTGACTGAAGGCGACTCTGCAAAAGCTCTTGCTGTGAGTAATGCATACTTTCTATATAACTTTGTGTACTTTAACTATGGAGCTGAAATGCTGAGATCCGCCCATGCAGATGTCTGGCATAGCTGTCGTAGGGAGAGATTACTATGGTGTATTTCCTCTCAGGGGAAAACTGTTGAATGTCAGAGAGGCAAACCACAAGCAGATAATGGACAACGCTGAAATTCAGCACATAAAGCAAATCCTAGGTTTGCAGCATGGAAAGCAGTATGAAAGTACCAAAGGTTTGAGATATGGCCATCTCATGATAATGACAGATCAGGTTTGGCATACAACATCTCCAACTTTATATCAACTAATCAAAATTTAGGATCATGATAATGACAGATCAAGTTTTGTTTGCTCATGCTTTGACAACCAAAATTTAGGATCATGATGGTTCCCATATCAAAGGGTTGTTGATCAACTTCATTCACTCATTTTGGCCGTCTCTTCTTAAAGTTGAATCTTTCTTGGTTGAGTTCGTCACTCCAATTATCAAGGTAGATAACAGTTGGGTTTTATCTATGCACATATTTTTATGTATTGTCACATTTTATTCTTGATCCCATACTAGTTTGCACCAGAGGGATTTTTTTCCTGCCAGATGTGTAATTTTTGTAAAATATCTGTTTGACTGCCATTATAATACTTGAACTCACTTGTCCAGGCAACCAAAGGTAAAACTACGAAATCATTTTACACAATGCCAGAGTATGAAGAATGGAGAGAACGAATTTAGGAGCAAGTGCAAGTTCATGGACTATAAAATACTACAAGGTCTGGTTGTCCCTTCTAGTTCCTTTGGTTTTGTTTCACTGATTTGTTGCTTGTGTTTGCTTTTGTGATTTTCCTTTGCTTGCTCTTGTCAATTCTGTTGGTATTTGCTGAGGATGGCAGCATTCTTATGTTGTTAATCATTTATGTTAATTATTTAAAGGGATCATTTTTGGTACAGGGGTTGGGAACAAGCACAGCCCAAGAAGGCCGGGAGTACTTTGAAGCTATTACTGATCACAAAAAGGATTTTGTCTGGGAAGATGACCAAGATGGCAATCATATTGAGTTAGCATTCAGCAAGAAACGGATTGCTGATAGGAAACAGTGGCTTACAAATTTTCAGGTTAGCTCTTGCATCTTTCCCCAGTTCGGCATAGTTTGTTTATGCTGGATCAACACTAAATCTGCAAACTGATTTTCAGCCTGGGCGATATTGACCACCAACAAGAGAAAAAAGTCAAGTATAGTGATTTCATCAACAAAGAGCTGATACTCTTCTCAATGGCGGACCTGCAGCGATCAATACCTTCAATGGTTGATGGCCTTAAACCAGGTCAGAGGAAGATTCTGTTTTGCTCATTCAAGAGGAATTTTGTTAAGGAAGCTAAGGTGCGTCTTTTGTTTACCTTTCCTTGCATTACAGATTATCTGGGGTTTATTTATTTATTTATTTATTTTTGTTGTTTCTTCTGTTGACCACAGGTGGCTCAGTTCTCTGGTTATGTGTCAGAACACTCAGCATACCACCATGGCGAGCAGAGTTTAGCAAGTACAATTATTGGAATGGCTCAGAATTTTGTTGGCAGCAATAACATCAACCTTATGTACCCTGGTGGTCAGTTTGGCACCAGAGCTCAGGTGGGATAACAGGGCAAAAGCTTGTACTTGTGAGGTGCTTGTTATGACATAACACTGCCACAATTATTGTCATGTGTGTTTTACATGTTTATATATCATTTCAGGGAGGCAAGGATGCTGCGAGTCCTAGGTACATCTTCACCAAGCTGTCTCATATCACACGTTCAATTTTCCCGAAGGATGATGATATTCTACTTAATTATCTGAATGAGGATGGGCAGTCAATTGAACCCACCTGGTAATGTTAGCGATTGCATATTTACATCATCTGTCCTTATCACAATCATCTATTCATGGTGTAGCTAATGACAAGCCCTATTTTTCTTAGGTATATGCCAATTCTTCCCATGGTCTTGGTCAATGGAAGTGAAGGAATTGGCACTGGATGGAGCACATTTATTCCAAACTACAATCCAAGAGACATTGTTGCTAACCTCAGGCGGTTACTGAATGAAGAGTCTACTGTACCAATGCATCCATGGTACAAAGGATTCAAGGTTGGTATTATGAGTTGGCTTTTGCAGTTGCACCAAGGCATAGTTTTGTAAATACTCCTCTAGACTAGAATTATTGTTTGTACTAAAGCAAACTTTCAATGCCCAAATCTACAGGGATCTATAGAGAAGACTGTCAATACAAAGGTAGTTGGTTCCACGTATACCGTCACCGGAATCATTGAGGTTGTTAACAACACTACACTGAGGATCACTGAACTGCCAATCCGCCGTTGGACTCAGGATTACAAAGATTTTCTTGAAAGTATATGTGCAGATAAGCACAACAAGGACAAATTATCATTCATAGAGGTAGTTGACAACAGAAAACACCTTCGCTTGTGTTCATAATGTTTGCACCATCATATATCATAAACACTTTTCCTCAATTGCAACTATTGTACAGGATGTCACAGCGCAAGGTGATAATGAAGACATTTACATTGAGCTCCAATTAAGTGAGGGAAATATGAATATAGCTAAGGAAGAAGGACTAGTGAAGAAGTTTAAGCTGACAACAACAATTGGAACATCAAACATGCACTTGTTTGATTCAGATGGTAAAATTCGGAAGTACGACACTCCTGAGCAAAGTAAGTGATGTCTCATATTGTGTGTTGTTACAGACCCCATTTTCTTGTCATTTAATCACTACTAAAAGTGTGATATTTCTGTAGTACTTGAGGAGTTCTTTCAATTAAGGCTTGAATTCTATGTTAAGAGAAAGGTACATCTGATGACTTTGATATTTTCAGAATATTAACTATAAGCCATACTAACCAATTTTTTTGTGCAGGAAGCAATGTTGAAAAGTATCAAGCTGGACTTAAAGAAGCTTGAAAACAAAGTTAGGTTTATCCGCTGTGTTGTTGATAATGAAATTATAGTTAACAACAGGAAAAGGGCAGATCTATTCTTGGAGCTCCGGCAGAAGAATTTTGATCCTTTCCCAAAGAAAAAAAAAGAGGGCTGAACCAGCTGCTGTAGGTGCTTTAGAAGAGGAGGAAAATGAAGAGAGTCCTGAAGCTGAAGGAGCGGAGCCTAGTGACTATGAGTATCTCCTCGCAATGTCAATCGGTACCTTGACTTTGGAGAAGATACAGGAGCTCAATGCTGAGAAACAAAAATTAGTGGATGGTGTTGAGGAACTGAAAAACACATCGCCAAAATCACTTTGGTTGAAAGATCTTGATGCTTTTGAGAAAGAACTGGATGTAAGCAATGTCATTTTCTGATGTTGTGTTTACACGTCTGTGTTCTGCTACCTCACTTGCGTACTTTGATGCAGGTGCTTGATCAAATGGATGTAGAAGAGGAGGAGCGAAGGGAAAAGAGAATAAAGGAAGGCAAAAAAGGGGGATCAAAAGCTGGACCCAAGAAACAACGTAAAAAGGCTGCAGTTAATAAGGAGAAAAGCGATACAGAAGGTATCTGTTATTCCTCCACTGCACAAAGTTTCCTGTGGCATTCCTATGGAAATGATTGATTAGCTCTGTTTGAACTCTGAACCAATGTTGAAACTCTGATCGCCTGTCACAGATGATGATGTGGTTGAACCAGTGGTCCCAAAGCGTGGAGCTCAACGGAAGAAAGCATCCAAGAAGGTTATAATCTAACATGCTAATCCTTGAGTTGACTAAGTACTTTTTAGTTGCACTGTGCTGATAAAATAGTTATAGTTTCTAAGGCAAATGGTTCTGGGTCTGATGACGAAGATTATGTAGCTGAGAATCCAAAACGTGAACACCAAAAGAAACAATCTAATAAAATAAGATTCTCAAAACTATCTATTTAACTAGTTTGTGTGTAATATCTTTTTAATTGGTTTTATTTACAACTGAAATGTGAAAATCTCACAGGCTCCGGTGGATGAAGAGGAAGTTGACATGCCTTCACTAAAAGACCGTATTGCTGCTTTAAGTTTCAATGACTCCTCTCCGGATCATTCTGGTACTGCCAAAACACATTCAACCAACTTGTTGTATTTGAATGATAAAAAGGAGAGTTCTCTGTTTAAAAAAATTGAGCTGATGGAAATTTGCAGCTATGGAAACTGAAACAACAGAAGAGCAGAATGAAAAACTGGCGACTAAGGGACCAAGCAAAAGAGGTGGAGGAAAGAAGGCGGCATCGTCATCCTTGGCGATGATACCATCTGATGACGAGGATGATGATTTTACACTGGAGGAAGTCTCAGAGGTCCAAGCTCAGAAGAAAGGTAGAGGAAAGAAGCCTGCTGCTGCTGTGAAGCCGAAGGCTCCTGCCACCAGGAAAAGGGCACCGGCTCAGGGCAAGGCAACGCAGAAGAAAATAGATGAGATGCTCCAGGCCATTGAGGCTAACAACACCAGCCCTGAGAAGAAGGTCCGGAAGATGAGGCCCTCTCCTTCAACAAGAAGAGTGGCTCAATCTTACAGAGGGGCTCGACTGCCGCTTCTGCAAGCTCTGAAACTACTGCTGAAGCTTCACCACCCTCAGGCAGCTCTGCAGAGCCAGTTGGTGCAGCACAACCTAGAAGGACAGCCAGGGCCACCAAGAAGCCTGTCTATGTTACTGATAGCGATCCTGAGGATGAAGTGGTGGAGTTGACTGATGATTCTGACTTTGATTTGGATGGTGACTCTGACGAGTGAAGGTAGCTGTCATCCGTGTGTTGTGTGCAACAGTATCTAGTTTGTGTGTCGTTGCACATGCTATACTTTGATGATGCATTTCTTGTTCGTTGTATGTGTTCATTGTGTCGTTCTGTTGACTGTTGTTGCCAAGAGCCCAAGACAATTACCTGGTTAACTGATTTGTCTGTCTGTTATTTTTGCGTACAAGTGTGCCTGTGGTATGCTTTGCAGTGAACGTACTGAGTTCTGACTTCTGATGCTGCTCGGCACGGGCGTCCACGAGAGGGCTCTGTGGCCTGTGGTCCGTGGGGTTGGGGTTCTGATACATCATTGAGCTAGAAGCGTGGCGATATGATGGATTTTGTACGCTGGTAGCAGTTGGCGAAAGGAGAGCGATCCGTTTGCAGGTTTCCAACCTCGCCCTCTGGCCTCTTCTAGTTGAGGTGATATAAGTAACCTAACTGAGAGTACAGTCTGCAGAGTTACAAGGAGTCCATTTATATAAGCGTTGTTTTACAGTAAGCTATTGGGTCCCGCGGAGATCGAACAGGAAGAGATACGGACGCCTTCTGTTACACATGTAACCAAGGACAAGGAAACAGTCCATCGTTGGTGAGCATTTGTTTTCTTCTTACTTCTGAAATTTTTGTTACGTGCCCAGATCAATGCATTTCAATTTAAAACCCTGAAATGTTTGGTACGTGTCCAGAACTGCGCGCATATGAATTTGAAAATCCCTAGACAGCACTCCCTAAAGTGAACCATTTTCGCTGTTCCACTTCTGCCCGAGGCTTCTTCCTCTTCCTCCGTTGCTGCACCCTTGCCTAGGGGTACATAGCTAGATTGGCAGAAAAGAGCCAACGCTCTGCGCTCTGTTCTCCACGGAATACCAGCAGAGATCATCGGCTCCTTCAATGGTTGATGGCCTTACGCCTGAGTCGCCTGACCAGAGGAAGATCTTGTTCTGCACATTCAAGAGGAACTTAGTAAAGGAAGCAAATGTGTGGCATCAAGCATATATATATTTTTACAATTTTTGTATATATTATTATTACAGACCATCAGTGGTCTGTTACCATTTCGCTTGGTCTGTTGGCTACAAGTTTCTCAATTCTGTGGTTATATGTGGCAGAATACTCTGCATGCTGCCAAGGCAGAAGAGAGTCTAGGGGATAAACTCATTGGAATGGCTCAACGCTTTGTAGGAACTAACAACACTGGAGGCCATTTCGGTACCAGATATCAGGTAGGATAACAGCTTTGGGATGGGATAATCTTGTGCTCTGTGATCCAGTCTTGCCGTCCTTGTTTGCATATTTATGTCTTCATTCCAGAGACGAGGAGACGGTTGCGACACCGAGAACATGTTCACCAAATTGTCGCCTATCACTTGGTCGATTTACCTGGAGGATGACGACGGTCTGCTGAACTATCTGCAGAGAGATGGAAAATCAATTGAACCCACATGGTAGTAATAGCTTTAGATGATCCACTCTGAATGTTTGCATCTACATAGTGATATAATCAGTTAAAACATGACTCTGTATCCATAGGTATCTGCCGATCCTTCCCATGGTTTTAGTCAATGGAACCAAAGGAAGCGGCAACGGATGGAGCTAACCTGAGACGGTTGCTGAATGATGAATTGATGTGTGTACTGAACCCATGCACCCTTGGTACAGGGGTTCCCAGGTCAGTAAAATGAGTTAGCCTGCATAATTCTTTTGCATTATGGCGTGGGCCTTTTTAGATAGGACAATTTATAGTTGTATTATGCAATGAAAATTTTCTTCCCCAAACAAATAGGTATCTATATTGAGAAGACAAGAAAAAAGGCAGCTGGTGTCACGTATACCACCACCAGTATTATAGAGGCTCTTGACAGCACTACGCTGAGAATAACAGAGCTGCCAATATGCTGCTGGACTCAGGATTATGAACAATTTCTCGAGCCATTGGCTCCACACAGCAAGAACTCGAATAAGGAATCAATAATTGTGGTGTTTATTTAAAGAACTCTATCACTTGGGTTTACTTGCTGTTTTTTAATCATTTGAGTGATGCTGAGGATATTTACATTGACATCATATTAAGTGAGGAAAATATTGATATAGCTAAGTGACAAGGGCTGGCGAAGAAATTTAAGCTGACAAATTGTTCAACAAATATGCACTTGCTTGGCCAGGATGACTACATTCGGAAGTATGACACTCCGGAGCAAAGTATCCATCTTTATGTTTCGTTATAAACAATTTTCTCTATTACCATCTTGCATCTAAAAGTGTGTCGTTTACTGTGGGGGTATTAACCCCTATACCCTTATGGCTAAGCTTGGGCCGGCCCGGATCTATGGGTTCGGTCCACCAAAAGACGACGTGCGGTCCGGTTAACCTAATCGGAGTCCCGCGCAAGGAGTCAAGGCAGATTTGGCGATCAGTCAAGATCCTGGTCGGTTAAAATAGGAATCCTTATCCGGCCACATATGGCAATTGTAACTGGCTAGGATTAGTTTTTCCAGATCTGTAACCCTGCCCCCCGAACTATATAAGGCGGGCAGGGGACCCCTCTAAAAAACATCTCTCATTGACATACAGCAATACAAATCGGACGCAGGACGTATGTATTACGCCTTCTTGGCGGCCGAACCTGGATAAAACTTTGTGTCTGTCTTGCGTCACCGTCTTGTTTGTGGCTTGCGCATCTGTCTGCCGACAATCTACTACCTTGGGTATACCCCTAGGTAGACTGTCGACCGTATTTCGTCGACAGTGGCGCGCCAGGTAGGGGGTGTGCGTACTGCTTCCCAAGCAAACAAGACGGTCATCATCTCCGACTCCATGGCTACGCCGAACGGCCTCACGTTCACCGTTGGCCAGATCACCTGGACCACCGGCTCCGACGACTTCATCGCCATGACCCCGGAGGAGGCGTGGATTCAGTCTGCGTCGACCACTGCTTTACCTACATCGGCTACGGCTCCGACCACGATGGACACGGCTCCGACCACGATGGATCTGGCTCCAACCACGGTACATCTGGCTCCGACCACGCCTGCATCACCTTCAGCCACGTCGACAACTCGTCATCCGCTTCCCCGCTACAAAGGGAGGCAGATCGACAGCACCGACCTGCTCGACTCCATCGATCGGGTCGGCACCAAGCTCATTGAAACCACGGCTCGTAAGCACGATTCAAAGTCAGCCTAATGAGCGGTAACCGCTCCCCACAACAGATCTACCCGACCAGGCTCGGACCGTCCCGTCCCGCACGACTTGGTACAGATCTCGTGGTCACGTCTACTCCTCAAGGGCGCTCTGCTCGTCGCCGGGCAGCCTTCGCGACGGGTCTCCGGCTCTCCGAGTACGAAGCCTCGACGGAGAACTACCAGGTCCAGCCCTACGCCCTGCAAAACGCTGCCTCCAGCTACGCCTACGACCTGCAACACCGCTTGGATCTGTGTCTTATGCACCGACCTCACCGGCCGAAGCCTGCGACTTCGTCAACATGATCCAGATTGAAGATTATCAAGAAGGATCCGTTCACCACGATCCAAGAGGGCGACCCGGCTCCCTCGTCGGCACCGCATCTAATGCATCTGTCCACACCGAGCTTCAGCATCACGAAGATGAAGGCGTCAAGTACGATCTGGATATCCCAGACCACGCCCCGGGGTTCTCACAATTCCGTCTTTCCCGCCAAGGCGAGGGATCGATCCATGTTGTCAAGAATGACGAACCGCCAAAGCAGATTGGCGAAGCAGAACAAGAAAGGATCGCACGCGAAGCACGCAATATTGACCGGTTTAATCGCCGACAAATCGAAGCGAAGCGAGACATCAGAGGCACGACGATAAGGGTCCAAACCACGTGACCTCAACGAAGCTTTCGGCGTGGTGGGGACAAACAGGTCTTCGAACTCCAAGTGCCAATGTAGCCGTCGCCATGGCAACAATGCAACGGCTACCCAACACCCCGAAACCCAAGCGATTCGCGATGAAATAAGCCTATCTCGACGGTCACGCTATGGCCTGCACCGCAGAGATTGTAAACCAAGCTCAGCTCCATCCGTCTCGTCGAGTCAAGCCACAACCGCCAAAGACACCCAAGTCGCTCACATCCACCCAACCAACGTGGCTCGCGCAACAACGACCCATCAGACAACCGTCAAGAAGGAAACGGTGGCCACGATGGTAGCCAGGATGACAACCGCCGCCGGGACAACCGCGACAATCGCCGCGATAACCGCGGTCGTAGGGCTAATCCAGATGGCAATCGAGATCGCCGCGATGGCAATAACGATCTCCGCCATTACCTCGGTGGGCCGCGATCTCGCAAGCGCTCGCATCAACCAGAGAGCCGACGATCGAAGCGCCCCACGAAAGTTATCGCCGTATGGAATATGACATCGCCCACGGCCCGCCGGGTTTGAAGCGATTTACTCCACACCTTCGCCAAGTCATATGGCCCAAGAATTTCAAGCTCGAGAAGCTTCGAGTACGATGGCAAGGAAAAACCCGAATTATGGGTCATGCTTTATGAGGCTGCGTGCAGATCAGCCATGGCGACGAGCACGTCATGTCTAACTATTTTCCCATCATTTATTGGCCATGCGGGTCACCAATGGTCTGGTCGACTTACAAATGAACTATTTCGACTCTTGGCGGGGAGCTCAAGCAAGCCTTCATCGACAACTTCATTGCTACTTGTGAACAACCGGGCAACAAATACGATCCGCAACGATTCGAGATCGAAAAAGATGAGTTACCGCTGAAAGTACGTCCGACGTTTCTCGAGATGCGCATCAAGGTCCCATCAATCTCCGACAACGAGGCAATCGAGGCTTTCATCATCGGCCTCCGCTTCTACGATGCCCTAAGGGACAAGCTCCTCCGCAAAAGACTCGATTCGGTCCACGGCGCTCCGCCACCGCTAAGAAATACGCGGACGCCGACGACGCTAAAAGATAATTATTGAAGAAGCGGCAAAGGGTTCCGCGCTCCGACCACCCCCACACAACGC